ATGTACGGCGCGCTTTGAGTCGAACGGAGCAAGTTTGTTGGCGAGACCCGCCCCGGGCGTTTAATATTAGGGGAGACGGGTTCGTCTTAATTGATTGTTTCGATTCCCCGACTCTAATATTGCCTTATACGGATTTGACTGTGTTGCCCTGGCCGGCCGCTCACGCCACGTGGCGGCCGCAGTTTGATTGTCGCTGGTGTCGCCAGGGGGACTCGTGTTCTTGGCGACGACTGGTCCTGGGTTACGAGGGAGCGGCACGTTTCCCTGAGCTCTTCCGTAATGCGGGGGCGCTGCCCGCGCAATTTCGAATTCGGATATCGGCAAGTTCTCCCGCCGCTTCACCCTCTCGGGAACTTCCGCGCAGACTTTGTGAGTCCGACGCCAAGGCGTGAAGGCCTCGAACCAACCACCTATACAACATAAACCTGACGGCCCGGTCTTCGGTCCCTAGCCATCGTGGCCTCCTCCCCCCGCTGCCCTTCTTCGTTTTGATTCACCGCGGCAGCTTGTCTTTGCAGAACTTTTCGGTTTTCGTCACCCTGGACTGATCCGACCTCCCCGGGACTCAGTGGTGAAAGATCGATCCCGTGATGACCTCTGGTTTGAAACGAGAGCCTCCCATTTCGACCGGGAGACTCAACCCCTACGGCCAAAAATCCGCGGCCACGCCCCTCCTATAACTCTGATCGGCGACCCGGTACGGGAAGTCGCGAGGGGGCGTGAGGTTAAGTATCACAAGCCACCATCTCTACTGCTGCTATACCCTATTCCAATCCTACCAGCTAGCCCCCTCGCTAATAGGACGCATGATATCCCTCCATCTCCTTCTCCCACTCACCTCGTTTCTTTTTAGAATAGACCATCGGGGTCGTAAAAGAAATCTTCAAGCTCCCTAACAAACCCTTCCAGAGTTCCTCAAAGTTGTCTTCCTCCCTGCCGAGCTCTTCCAGGCCTCACACCCCCACTTTCTACTGGGTTATAGGGCAACACAACTCGCCCCAGCTCCGGCCAACGTCGTCCCAGCAGCAAACCTTAGTTGTTCCATGAGATGCCCACCCCAAAGCATCCCCAGATCTCTCTACCAGGCCTCACGCTCCTGTGTCAACAGGTTACAGGGCAACACCCCAGCACCGGCCAGCTATGTATCCCCCCCGGCAGCGGACAGGCGCGGCCAAGTCCGTGGCCGCGGCCAGGCCGCAATGCCCGCGGACGCGTCCGCGCGGACGCGCGTCTTTGCGGACGCGTGGCGGCCGCTGGGGAGGGAGGTTGAAGAATCGGGAAGCGCCACGTGGCGGCACAACCCCAGCCCCACCCCATCAGGCAAAAAAAAACGAAAAAAAACAAATTTTTGGTTGGGGTTTTAAGGGCGAAATCAAAGAAAATAGAAAAAAAAAAACGCATTT